TGAGTTCAAGGGGGCTGGGGATGTAGCTCAGTGGTAAAGCAATTGCCTTGCACGGACAAAGCCTTGGGTTCAGTCCCCAGCCCTGCAAACACACACACACACACACACACACACACACACACACACACACAGTACGTATGCATTAAATTTTGCTGGGTGTGGTGGTGCACACCTGTAATCCCAGCACTCAGGAGGCTGAAGCAGGAGGATCATTATGAGTTCAAGACCAGCCTGGGCTACAAAGTAAGCTCAAAGCCAGCCGGAACTGCACAGCAGGACCCTATCTCAAAAAACAAAACAAAAACAAACAAAAAAGGGCGGAGGATTTAGCTCAGTGGCACAAGCACCTGCCTGGCAAACGCAAGGTCCCAAGTTCGATTCCCGGTACCAAAAAAAAAGACATTAAAAAAAAGCACTGCGTGAAAGGAGCACAGCGAGCCATGAAAGCCGCACTTGCACAAGAAAGCAGCTTATGGACTACACCGGGAGACCTGATTTAAAAGTCAAATGCACTTGTATTTAAAGAGTTAGTTTTATGACTCTATTCAGCTTCCAAAATTCTGCAAACAAGATTTTCTTCTTTGAATGAAACATACACAGTTTGTTTATTTTAAGAGTAGGAAAATTTACTGGGAAAAGGAATGGGGACTAGGAATAGCTCCTGAGGGCGGTGAGGGGCGCCGCACGGGCTGCCCACGTGCGATATTTGGAAGCAGACCGGCAAGCAGAAATTTTTTTTACACTTCATGAAACATCTTAACGAATCCTAAAAGGGCTATTAAGTCATGATCTCTGAAAAATTTCCAGCCCACAAATATAAGAACTTCCAAATCGGGGACTTTGGGTTACACGGCACCTCCCTTGCTTTCTAAATATAACACAATCTCATTTTTACTGAACAAGGTCTAGAATGTCGTTTTATTAATAATAGAATTTCAAGCTTTAATACAAAAAAAACATTGAGAAATGTCATTTCAGATCAGACTCACCATTTTACAAACTAAATAATGTGAACATGACAAGGACATGTCTGAAGTACTTAAGACGCATAACAGGTTTGGGAAGGCAGTGGTACCATGCAGAATGAAGCTCTTCTATACCACTTCCCAGTTTGAAAAAGACTAAGCCAGGTGTGGTGGTGCATTCCTGTTAACCCCAACATTTGGGAGGCTGATGCAGGAGGATTGCTGCTAGTTCCAGGCCAGCCTGGGCTACAAAGTGAGTTCAAGGCCACCTTGAACTGAATGGTAAAACCGTCTCAAAAAAAAAAAAAAAAAAGAGCCGGGGATACAGTTAAGCAGCACAAGCACCTGCCTGGCAAGGGCAAGGTCCTGAGTCTGATTCCTGGTACAAAAAAAAGAAAAGAATGAACGAAAGAAAGAGACAATGGGTCAATGTGTTTATCAAAGCAAAATAAAATGGTCAGGATAAAACCAAGCATGTGGGTGATCACAATAAATATAAATAAATTAAATTCTTATTTTAAAAAAAGACTGAACACTTTAAAAAGTTTGTTTTTTTTTTTAAATTTCCAACATAGCCAGATGTGGTGGTGCACTCCTGTAATCCCTGTAGTCAGGATACTGAGGCAGGAAGATTGCTCTCAGTTCAAGGCCAGCCTGGGCTGCATGAGTTCAAGCCCAGCACAAACTACAATAGCAAGACCCTATCTCCCCCCCCACTTAAAAAAAAATAAAAAATAAATATTCAACATAACTGGTCTCTCCCTCCTCCTTCCCCTCCCTTTCTTTTTTTCTTTTTCTTTTTTTTTTTTTTTTTTTTTGAGACAGGGTCTCACTATGCAGTCCAGGCTGGCCTTGAGCTCACTTGGTAGCCCAGGCTGGCCTCTAACTCGCAACGATCCTCCTGCCTCAGCCTCCCGAGTGCTGGGATTATAGGTGTGCGCCACCTAGCCCGGCTCCCCTTCTTTCTTTTTTAAGGCAGGTCTCACTTTGTAGCCAGGCTGGCCCTCACGATCCTCCTGCCTCGATCTCCCCAGTGCTGGGACTGCAGGCATGCACCACCACGCCCAGCTGGCTATACCTTTTTCTACTACAGGAGTCTCAGGAAATTTACGTAGCCTTTCAAATCACAAAGATCTCAAGACTTACTTAACAGCCGGAGGCACAAGACAAGGGTGACAGCCTCAGAAACGAGGAGAAAGCATCTTGGTGTCTGGGTCCCGACTGAGGTAGCACACTAACATCAGGAGGAAGAGTCCCAGGTAAAAACGTTTCCTACTCACTCTTCCCACCCAGAAGGAAGAGCTCAGATCATCACACCTGTGTCCCGCCAGCCCTCTGCCCCGCACTGAAGTGACTCTATCCGTGGGGCATGCTCCATGAGGTTTGCAATTTAGTATCTCTTAACGTCTGTGCCTCATTCACCTGGGATCAATTCCCCACACCCATTTTCTGGGAATTCCTCTCCCCTTCAGCAGTCACACCCTCCTCTACCTCTTCCTTCTGTGAGGGTGCACCTCCAAAACTAACGGTGATAGAGGACAGTAAATAATGTCAAAACCAGCAGAAAAGGCAGTCTTTTAAGGGTCCCAACTATGAACCTATCTACCTCATGTGTCTGATCTAAAGCTCCCTCCAGCCTGACAAGGTATTTCGATCACAGGTTCCCAGAAACCAGACTCAGGTGAAGGAAGCTACTTAAGGAGCAGGGTGACCAACTGTGCCAGTGTCTGAGACTGAGGGGCTCCTCGGGACTTTCAGTCTCTAAACCCAGACCGTCTCGGGCAAAGGTGATCCTCTACTGAGGACACACAGTCCATCCGTCTTGGTCCATTTTCTGTTGCTAGACAAGATCTGAGACTGAGTGATTATAAATAGAGGCCTACTTGGCCCACAGCTTGGAAGCCGGGAGGTACAACAGCATCTATCTGATGGGGCCCTTTTGCTACAATAACATGGAGGGAATCCCAGGTGACACAGAGCAAGCTGGCTTTTGAAAAAAAGCTACTCGGTGACAGCTCATTAATCTATGAAGGGATCAACTCATGAACCGATTAATGGATTAACCCATCAGTATCATAAATGGATTAACCTATCCAAACAGGGAAGGCCCAAAAGACCCAATCACTGCGGGTGATATAGCTCAACGGCACAGTGCCTGCCTGCCAAGCGTGAGGTCCTGAGTTCAATTACTGGTACAAAAAAAGAAAAGACCCAATCACTTCCCCCAAATCCTACCACATTAACATACGGATTTGGAGATTACATTTCCAAATCGGGGACTTTGGGTTACACGGCACCTCCCTTGCTCTTTCAAAAGTTCACATTTGGGGGCTGGGGATTTAGCTCAGCAGCACAGTGCCTGCCTGGCAAGCGCAAGGTCATGAGTTCGATTCCTCCGGCGGGGGGGGGGGGTAAATTCACATTTGGCCTGCACGGTGACACACACCTGTAATCCCAGCACTTGGGAGGCTGAGGCAGGACTGCTGAGTCGAGGCCAGACTGGGCTAAGAAGTGAGCCCAAGGCCACCCTGGAACACAGAGAATGACCCTGTCCCAACACCCCCTCCACCCCACTGCCCCAAAGTTCACACGTGAACACCAAAGCCCATGAACTTTCTCCCAGAATTCCTCCCTCTCCCAGCCTAAACTCTCACACTCATTATTCTACCTCGCAGGCTTCAAGGCCTAACCTAATTTTGGTGAAAAGTGTCCAGCTCCCCTTATTCTGCCCCTATTGTGCCTCTTCCTATGATAAGTACTGTACACTAATCTTCTCTTTCCCCCCTCTTTTTTTTATGGTACTGGAAACAGAACTCGGGGCCTCACACTTGCCAGGCAGGCCCTGTGCCGCTGAGCTACATCCCCTGTATGCTAATCTTTCCTAACTCCCTGACACCGTGCACTCAAAGGACCAGTACGGCAGCTGTAAAATTAAAAGGCAAAAGAGCCCAGAGAAAGCTCAATTCCTTTTAACTCTGTCTATTTCTCTTTTAATATAACATTACTAGCAGTGAAAGGCCTTTGAGGATGGGATTAAGGAACTGAGAAATTGTTCTTGCCTCAGAATACAAAGTTAGGATGATCAAAGCAAGCCTGTTCTACCCTCAAGTCGACCAATGAACTGAGGCAAAAAGTAAATCCGACGAGGATGGCAGGGGTGTTCTGGACCGCGTTCGAAGGCGTAATATTAGGTGGTGTTTATTAAGCAGGACTGCAACAGTGTCTGAGATTTAAACCCTCAGGAGGCCTCAACCTTAATACTGATCCTTTCGCAGGGTCCCCGTTCCAAGCCCCAAGAGCCCCAGCTTTGGGGCCCTCAGGTCTTCTACCTTCGCCACTGCTATTGCAACTCCATCTTCCCAGTCTCAGGGGCACCTAGAATGACTCAAAGGAAAGGAAGAACTGAATTGCAGAAGGACCTGAAATAGCACCAAGAGACACGGTTTTATACCGGGTGCGGTGGCGCACGCCTGTAATCCAACACTCGGGAGGCTGAGGCAGGAGGATCACCATGAGTTGGAGGCCAGCCTGTGCTACAGAGCCAGACCCTGTCTCAAAAAAAAAGAGAGAGAGAGAGAGACGGTTTTGGCAGTCGAAGCAGCAAGTACCACGCACATACAGAATGTTTGTGGGAAAATAAACAAATCAATGTCATATAAAAACTACTGCAAGCAAAAGTGTATTCAAGAACCTAAGCACTTCCTCAAAGGCAAGAGGCGTCCATAATATAGCACAGTGCTCAAATGACTCTTTACTAAACGACATGCGCTAAATGAATTTTCTATTCTTGGGAAATTCCGTGTTTTGCTTCCCTTGACACAGCCCATGAGCAGTGAACACCCGCTGCGCTCCCGCTATTCCAAGAGCGGTCTCCAACATCTGGGAATGCACCGAGTCAGAATCTGCACTGTTGAAAGCCAAGAACGCCAAGGCAGATCTCAGCACATGAAAGCTGGGAGAACGCTGCCGCAGAAGTCAGCTACACACACCCTCCCAGCTCGCCGGGCTGACAAACGCGCGCGCCCGCCGCCGCACCTTGATGCGCTCCCCGTCGATCTCCACCGCGCGCTCTCGGAAATCCACCCCGATGGTGGCCTCGGTGCGGTCGGGGAAGCGGCCGGCGCAGAAGCGGTAGGTCAGGCACGTCTTGCCCACGTTGGAGTCGCCGATCACGATGATCTTGAAGATGCGGGAGCGAGCGGGAGGCAGACACCCCGAAGCCCCCGGCACCACGCAGCTGTTGGAGAAGCTGGCCTCCAGAGAGGACTCTATCTCCGAAGCCATCCTCCCCGCCCGCCCGGAGCTGGGACAGGGGAGAGCGGACGCGGCGAGGCCGGGCAATGACGCCACCGCGAGCGCCCGGCCCCTCCGCGCAACCAGCTCGCGGGCGC